CACCTCTCCAGCAGCCCCTCTCCTGCAATCTCCACCCATCTTCGACCATGCCCAGGGGTCCAGATCCCCTTACAGGGATGGGGTGAGACAGCATCGCTTGCTGGAGCTATGGAAGAGGGCTTCCTTCAGGAAAGGGGATGGCCAAGGACAGCCCGAGACGCTCCTGCTTCCAAGACGGGTCCCACTCACAGCCCCCGTCCCCAGGCAGCCCCCTCCACTCGCCAGCAGGCCGGTCTTCCTCGCTTCTCCTCTGCCTCTGGGTCTTCTCCCTTCAGCGCCCCCGTTCACTCTCACCCACAGCTTCTGCCCCTCGCTGCCTTCCCGCCCGCCTGGGGACAGGAGAGCATCCAGTCCGGGTGCTGGGACTGTGCCTGCCACCGGAAGCCCTGAGATCAATGCCTTTTAACCTTTCCTTCTTTCTAAAAAAAAAAAAAAAAAAAAAAAAAAAAAAAAAATATATATATATATATATATATATATATATATATATATATATATAATTGATTTTCCACAGAGAGGAAGGAAGAGAGATAGACAGCTAGAAACGTCGATGAGAGAGAAACATCGACCAGCTGCCTCCTGCACACTCCCCACTGGGGATGTGCCCGCAACCAAGGTACATGCCCCTGACCGGAATCGAACCCGGGACCCTTCAGTCCGCAGACCGACGCTCTATCCACTGAGACACACCGGTTTCGGCTCTTTTAATCTTTCTTTGACCACAGTGAGAAATACATTACACACATATCAAGCTTGCACATATTTGTGTATAGCGTATACATAGATGCTATAGACACACATACATTCACAGAGGGCTGTAAAATATATAACAAGAAATAAGAGTCTCCAGCCCTAGCCAGTGGACAGAACGTCTGCCTGAGGACCGGAGGGTCCCTGGGTTTGATACCAGTCAAGGGCATGGACCTGGGTTGCAGGGTCTTTCCCGACCGGGGCCCTGGTCAGGGAGTGTGCAGGAGGCAACCCATCGATGTGTTTTCCTCACATCGATGTTTCTCTCCATCTTTCCCTCTCTCTGAAGGATCAATGGAAAAAGATCCCTAGGTGAGGATTAACAAACAATCAAACAAAAAAGAGTTTCCAGAAACAATCTTAATCCTAACTATATGGGTAGCACTATGAGATTATACCCTTGTGTGTCATAAAGCCCCACTAAATTGGTTTCACAACCTGCAATGGGACAAAGCCCATGTTAGAAGTGACTGGGGGAGCCCTGACCCGTTTGGCTCAGTGGATAGAGCGTTGGCCTGTGGACTGGAGGGTCCCGGGTTCGATTCCAGTCAAGGGCATGTACCTTAGTTGCGGGGACATCCCCAGTGAGGGGTGTACAGGGGGCAGCTGATTGATATTTCTAATTCTCTCTCCCTCTCCCTGCCTCTCTGTAAAAAAAAAAATCCATAAAATATATTTGGGGGAAAAAAAAAGAAGTCACTGGAGGAGGAGAGATGGTTTGTTTCCCCCCATCGCCCCCCGCCAATCAGGGGCCTGTGGGCTCCCCCTGGCTCAGCTGTGGTCATACTAGTGCCCGACAAGAAGGGCCTTGGAAGGGACCAGACACGAGTGGGCATCATTAAAAAAAAAAAAATTCTCGCCAACACTTAGGACACACAGTCTTTTACTAAGAGAACATTCAAAACTGGCACTGTCCAGAATTTACGGCCTGTGACTGTTAGGAGGGGAACCGTTAGAAGGCAGGAATTAAAGATTTGTGGTCCCTGCCAAAACTGGCTTGGCTCAGTGGATAGAGCGTCAGCCTGCGGACTGAAGGGTCCCGGGTTCGATTCCGGTCAAGGGCATGCACCTTGGTTGCGGGCACATCCCCGTAGGGGTGTGCAGGAGGCAGCTGATGGATGATTCTCTCTCATCGATGTTTCTAACTCTCTACCTCTCTCCCTTCCTCTCTGTAAAAAATCAATAAAATATATTAAAAAAAAAAGATTTGTGGTTCCCGCTGAGGGCTGGACTAGGCACCCCCATTATATGTCTTTCAACCCTCGGTGTTCCCCCCCCCCCCCTTTTCAGAGAAGAGGAAACTGAGGCAGAGGTAGCCAAGGAACATCATCGAAGTCATGTAGCAGGTAAGTGGTCCGGCCGGGATTCTCACCGGAATCTGACTTGCCTGGCAGGCTGCTCATTCTTGGAACTCTTCTCCTCCATTTGGGGAGGTGAGTTCTCTCTTGGAGCGCCCCCTCTCTGACTGGGCAGTTGGACAGGCTGTTCTGGGCATGGAAGGATGGGGAGCCCCCATTTCAGCATTGCAGGGGGGTGGGCTGCCTGGGATGGTGTGTGTGTGTGAAAGAGAGAGAGAGAGAGCGAGAGAGAGCGCGCGCGCGTGAGAGAGAGAGAGAGAGAGAGACACTTAGTGAGCAGGGACAAAATAAGAGCCAAGTGTGGCTCAGATTAGAGAGCGTGGATCTCACCACGCAAGCACACAGAGATTGCCGCCAAATAAGGAATAATATTTCCATCATCCCCCCACCCGATTCTTTTTTTTTTAAAAAAAATATATATATTTTATTGATTTTTTACAGAGAGGAAGAGAGAAGGATAGAGAGCTAGAAACATCGATGAGAGAGAAACATTGATTAGCTGCCTCTTGCACAACCCCTACTGGGGATGTGCCCGCAACCAAGGTACATACCCTTGACTGGAATGGAACCTGGGACCCTTCAGTCCGCAGGCTGACGCTCTATCTACTGAGCCAAACCAGTTTCTGCCACCCCCTGATTCTTAAATCTTCACCTGAGGCTATTTTTCCATTGATTTTTAGAGAGAGTGAAAGAGAGCGGGAAAGACAGAGAGAAATAGCAAGGTGAGAGAAACACACCGATTAGTTGCCTCCTTGCACTCGGCCCTAACCAGGCGCCCCCCCCAGGCCAGGGAGGAGCCTGCAAATGAGGTATGTGCCCATGACCCGGGAACTCAGACTTTTTCGGTCAGCAGGCTGTCACTCTATCCACTGAGCCACACTGGCTAGGACCGTCCCCCAATTCTTTACTCCTGTATTGACCTGAGGGCGTTTAAATACTAAGGAATCCCAATTTACAGTATTGAAAATGCTAGGAAAAGAAAACCTTTTGAGTAGTAATAATAATAATAATAGTAATAATATCAAACAATTATTGAGTACTATGAGCTTTGCTTGGGTCATGTCACAGCGACCGTTTGGTGAGGACCTGCTCTGTGCCAGCTCTGTGCCAAGCCTGGCACCTAGGTGGCGCTCCGTAGACACAGGAGAATGAATGAAACCTATGGGTGTCCGGCTAGAAACAGCACATAAAAATGCATCTCATTTAAACACAACTCCGTGTACCTGGAGGAATCCCAACATTTCTCCGAGAGATTCTTTCTTCCTTTTGATAATCCCTTCATCCCGACACTTTTTAAACGTGAGAGATCTTTTGAGCAGTAACTTTTTCTCTTTCAGGTTAGAAACATCCTCCCCCATCTCACTCCACCGCTCCGCGTTCCAAGCTTTGGAGTTTCCTCTCTTTGCCCTTCCATTCCTGGGCGGTGTCTTCCCAGGCTCTGTGATCGACAGGACAACACCCCTACCGAGGGGCCTCCTTAACCCCTCACCCAGGGGCACAGACAGCCTGATTGTTCCTTCTCCTTGGCAACCTCGAGAGCAAGGCAAGGAGACAAGGATTGGAGCCCAGACCGCTGCACCCTTCCATCAGGACTGCCCCCAAGTCACAGGGCGACTGGTAGCAAGTCACCTCATGTTTCTGGTTCACTTTCCCTCATCAGGAGACCAAGGTCCAGGGACCCCTCACACTGCGGGACACCCACCCACAGCAGCGCCCAGGACCAGAAATGCCACCCTAAACCCATTCAGCTTTGCATCTCCCTTCTTTTCCTCCTACAGAACTGGAATTTACGCATCCACCCAAATCCGGGGACCTGGGTTGAAACTCTAGAAGGATCCCATCAGAATCCCGCTCGGGAAGAGAATAATGGAAAGGTTTGGGTTGGATCCTACCTCCCAACGGGAGACAACCCCACTTGCTGTGGCCCAGCGTGTGGGTGCGTTGACATTGACCGCCACCCACCCATCCCACGCCAAGGTTAGCCCAGGGTCCCCGCTCCGCGCCATCCCTGGCTCCCTCTGTGGAGGAACCCAGAGCTGAAAACACTGCCCTGGGTCGTGTGTTCTCATCTCCCCTCTTCTTCCTTCAGAAATGCACCTTCTTGGGGGAAAGGAGGGGGACAGGTTTGGCCGCTCACGGGTTCTGCCATCTCCTCCCCGCTTTCCAGGTGCCCTGTGGCTCCCGGATGAAGGCGAAGGAGCCAAGGAAGTGGGACCACCGGAGGGCTCTAGCTGCTTCTCTTGGGCACCTGCTGGGTACCTGACCCGCCACCCAAGTCCCTCCTTCGTGCATCCCTCAGCCATGTGCCAGGGAGACACCCCCTCCCTACTGACTGCGCACGCGCAGGGCCGGGGCGCGAAGCCACGTGCCAGGGAGACCCCCTTCCCACTGACTGCGCACGCGCAGGGCCGGGGCGCGAAGCCACGTGCCAGGGAGACCCCCTCTCCGCTGACTGCGCACGCGCAGGGCCGGGGCGCGAACTCACGTGCCAGGGAGACCCCTCTCCACTGACGGGCGCGCGCAGGGCCCGGGGGGCGCGAAGCCACGCACCGCCCGCAAGTCACCGCGAGAGTTGACCTCGCGCTTTCCAGCCCGCGAAGCCCGGCTCCCGCCAGCGATGGCTCCTGTCAGAACCGGGACTAAACCCGCAGGAGTTGGCGCAAAAGCGCCCTGTCCGCTGTTCCTGAACTCTGGGGGTTGGAGGCGGGGGGGGGGGCCCGGCGACCAGCGGGCGTCCCTCCTCACGCGCTCCTTCGCCCTCCCTCACGCGCGAGCCGGAAAGTTTGCTCGACGCCTCAGCGCTGAGGGGACGGCCCCTCGGAGCGCCCCCCGGGCCTGAGGGGAGACTGAGGAGAGCGCGGAGCGGCGCCCTGGAGGGCAGCAGACCGTTACCTTGAAAAGTCGCGCTTCCCGCTGCACGAACTTGGGGTCCCGCACGCCCGGCGCCGCAGCGGGGCTCCTGGGCCCGGAGGCCCGGGGGGTCGGGGTCGCGCGGGCGCCGCGCTCCGTCCGGCTCCTGCCCGCCGGTCCCTCAGGCGGCGGCGGCGGCGGCGGCGTCCCGGCCGGACACGGAGGGAAGACGACGGACCCGGACAGAGGCGCCCGGAGTCAGGAGCCGCGGAAGAGGTGCGGGGAGAGACCTTGAGCGGCGCGCGTCCTCCGCTCGGCGAGCCCGTGAGGAGCGGCGGGAGGTAGGCGGCGGGCGGGCGGGCGGGCATGGCGCGCCGCGGCACATATACCCGGGGCGGGCGGCGGGGAGGGGGCGCCGGGAAACCCCACCCCCGGCCGCGGGCGGGGCGGGCGGGCGGAGGCGCCTGGCGCGCGGGCCCCCGGCTCCGGGCGGGCGGGCGCGGCGCTGGGGAAGCCGCCGGGCGCAGGGCGCGGGAGGTGGGGGGGGAGGAGAGCTCCCGGGCCGCGGGCCGGTGTCTGCAATGCGGACGGCATCCTCCGCAGTCGGAGGGGCCCCGGGAGGGCGGCCGCGAAGGTGGCCCGACCGACGGGGTTCCCTCCCGGGCGTCTCGGGCCGCGCGGTCCCCGGCTCGCAAGCCCCGGGTTTGCAGGGAGCCATCCCCCCGGAAGTTTGGGAGATGGGGTGCGCCGCAGGGCAGGGCAGAGCGGGGAGAGGAGGAGGTTAGGCGGCTGCGGGTGTGTGTGTGTGTGTGTGTGTGTGTGTGTGTCCTGGGGTTGGACCCTCAGGACTTCAACCCAATCCCCAAGGACATCGCAAAGGAAGCAGGAATTCTCGGGTACAAGCGGAGCTCCGCAGGAGACCACCCTCCTGATCTTGTTTCCGGACAAAAGAGTAAAAGAACCAACAGATTTTAAAAAAAATTTATATATATATATATATATATATATATATATATATATATATATATAATTGATTTTTTACAGAGAGGAAAGGAGAGGGATAGAGAGTTAGAAACATCCATGAGACATCAATCAGCTGCCTCCTGCACACCCTCCACGGGGGATGTGCCCGCAACCAAGGTACATGCCCCTGACCGGAATGGAACCCGGGACCTTTCAGTCCGCAGGCCGATGCTCTATCCACTGAGCCACACTGCTTTCGGCCCAGCAGCATTTTTTTTTGAGTGCCTTCTGTGAGCTGGTTGCTTCCCATACATGGATAGCTCACTTACTTTTCCCCAAGAGCCCAGTGAGGTCAGTCGATGATACCTAGAGGCCAAATGCATGAAATCAGTGCAAGAGTAGGCCTTCCGTGTCCCCAGGCTGGTGACTGGGACCTGGACACGGGGTTTCCCTTGCAGCCGGGGCTTGGTCCCCGAAGGTCGTCTGGAAGGACGTGTCCGGTCTAATTAGCATAGGACGCTTTGATTATTATAGGTGCCTCCTCTTCCAAGATGTGGAAACTGAGGCTCAGAGAGTGATGGCGTGACTTACTCAAGGGGGGAGGGCAGGCAGGTGTGTGTGTGTGTGTGTGTGTGTGTGTGTGAATTCAAAGGCAAGATCATGCTCTCTGTGCTCCGCAGGCTGCTGGCTCAGCAGCAGCACTTTTGGGGGTCCCAGGCTGGCTGGTGGTTTTCAGGGTCCCTGTGGAGGACGCTGGTGGTGCCCAAGATTTAGTGGCCTCGTTCAGCATGGTAGAAACTGCTTGACCCCCCTCATTGGGTGACAACCGAAGGAAGAACAAGAAGTGCGATCTTGCCGGCACCGGTGTGGTTCAGTGGATAGAGCGTCGGCCTGTGGACTGAAGGGTCCCGGGTTTGATTCCGGTCAAGGGCATGTACCTTGGTTGCGGGCACATCCCCAGTGGGGGGTGTGCAAGAGGCAGCTGGTCGATGATTCTCTCTCATCGACGTTTCTAACTCTCTATCCCTCTCTCTTCCTCTCTGTGAAAAATCAATAAAATATATTAAAAACAAAACAAAACAAGAAGTGCGATCTTGCCCTGGACGGTTTGGCTCAGTGGATAGGGCGTCGGCCGGTGGACTCAAGGGTCCCAGGTTCGATTACGGTCAAGGGCACATGCCTGGGCTGTGGGCTCGATCCCCAGCAGGAGGCAGCCGATCAATGATTCTCCCATCATTGATGTTTCTATCTCTCTGTCTCCCTCTCCCTTCCTCTCTGAAATCAATAAAAATATATTAAAAAATAAAAGAAGTGCGATCTTTGTGGGCTGTGCACTACAGAGAGAATGCACCAAGTTTTTCTTTTGATGCCTCAGTTTCCCCACAGTGGCTTCTCTGGAGTTGTGTGGCTATTTTACTGGCCATGTCTGTTAGGGGGCAGGTCTGGCCCTGGCTCAGCCCGCCCTCCCCCTACCCCTTCCCTGCACAGGGCAGTGAGGCCTGGGCCGGGCATGGTGCCTCCTTCACCTGCCAGTCCCTGGAACAGTGGGTAAGGGGTCCCATTGGTTGGCAGTTCTTGGCTTCAACCCTTTTCTACTCCAGTCTGTTGTTTCCCTAGTCAAGTCTCAAACTTGCAGTTTGAGTTGACTAGAGTCCCTTAGCAGGGAAATAGAGTCTTCCCTCTCGGACAAAGAAATGGGATGAAATCTTATTAATTCCTGACCCCAACGCTTGGCCCAGGGGAAATGTTCATTCTAGAACAGTGATTCTCAACCTTCCTAATGCCGAGACCCTTTAATTCAGTTCCTCATGTTGTGGTGACCCCCAACCATAAAACTATTTTTGTTGCTACTTCATAACTATAATTTTGCTACTGTTAATGAATCATAATGTAAATATCTGTGTTTTCTGATGGTCTTAGGCTCTACAGCAGCGACCCACAGGTTGAGAACCGCTAGCAGGGTCGCCTAAGAGCATCGCAAAACACATATTTACATTATGATTCATAACAGTAGCAAAATTATAGTTATGAAGTAGCAACGAAAATAGTTTTATGGTTGGGGATCACCACAACATGAGGAACTGTATTAAAGGGTTGCGGCATTAGGAAGGTTGAGAACCACTGTTCTAGAAAAATATAATCCTTAACATTCCAACAGGAGGGGTCATGGATTCTCATGCTAGTATATTTGCCCGATGCTCTAAGTGAGAACAAACCATGCCATCTGTAAAATGGGATCAATAGCTGACATACATCCCAGGACATGTGGGATTAGTGAAGGACATTTAATTCAAGGACAAGGTATTAGTTAGGTAATTAATCTTTATAATGAAGGGAATGAATGTTTATTGACCACCCATCTAGTTTTGAGGCTAAGAAATATATAAAGGCTCCTAACTGGTTTGGCTCAGTGGACAGAGCATTGGCCTGTAGACTGAAAGGTCCCAGGTTTGATTCCGGTCAAGGGCATGTACCTTGGTTGTGGGCACATCCCTAGTAGGAGGTGTGCAGGAGGCTGCTGATGGATGTTTCTGACTCTCTCCTCCTCTCCCTTCCTCTCTGTAAGAAAAATCAATAAAATATATTTAAAAAAAAAGAAATACATAACAGGCACCTGTTATGTGTCAGACACTGCTTGATGCCATTTCCTAGCAGGTGAATTTTATTCCCATTACGCACACTAACAAACTGAGGCTGCCCAGGTAGTGGTTGAGTGCAGATAGACATGTCTCCACACCGCCTGCCCTTACAGAAAACCAAAGAAGAGGGGAAAATATTTGGACACTTCAGAGACCAAGTTCAGAGAATCATTGCGGCACACCCACCTCCCCAACTCCCAGCCACCTCCTCAGGAGGTTCCTTTGCAAATCGGCTGTGCCGGCCTCAGCTGCAGACCCAGTGCAGAACACCGGGAAACCCCGTCCCAGTGGCAGCAGGCCCATTGGGATGGCTGTGGGGATGCAGCCCTCCCGATAGGGTAGCATCCTTGGGTGGCATCTTGATGCCACCCTGTTCAGTGCAGGCAGGAGTCCTGTTCCTCAGGTGGAATTTCTGGTGCTGGCCATCCCTCCTCTGCTCAAAGATTGTACAGTCGCCTAAGGCCTTTTCCAGGCTGCCTGACTCGATTGGCTATCATGGGCAGCTTCTAACCTCTTTCTGCTCAACGTGTGGTCTACAGGGGAGCAGTGTCAGCCGGGAACTTGTTCAAAATGCAGACTCTCACGCCCACCCCAGACCTGTCGACTCAGAAACTGCATTCTAATAAGATCTGCCAGGTGTTGCCTCTGCCTGCAGATCTTATTGGACCTGTGCTGACACCACTCAGCAGGTTCAATCCGTTCAGTCACCAAATTGTGGAAAAGGGGACCTCAGAGCTGGGAAGGGTTTGTAGAGGATAGTGAGAACAACTCTTTCTATTAAAAAACAACAAAACAAAAACATTTTATTGATTTTATTTATTTATTTATTTTTTACAGAGAGGAAGGGAGAGGAATAGAGAGTCAGAAACATCGATGGGAGAGAAACATTTATCAGCTGCCTCCTGCACACCTCCTACTGGGGATGTGCCCTGCAATCAAGGTACATGCCCTTGACCGAAATCAAACCTGGGACCTTCCAGTCCGCAGGCCGACGCTCTATCCACTGAGCCAAACCGGTTAGGGCAAGAGAACATAGCATGCCATCTATAGCATGTCATCCTCTCTACAACGTTCCCCCTGACTGGAGAATATCTGGCTCTACTCGGACATGCCCATGGGTTTGACTCCCTTTTGAGGCTACGGTCCATTTTCATGGGGTTCTGTTTAGGCAGCGCTCAGCTTTTATAGAAGCTCTTTGCCACCTCCTGCCGTGCCCTCCCCTGGCTTGTCCCGGTAAAATTGGTTTTTCTAATCCAAGTGTGGGGCTGGATCTTTGCCCCTCTTAAAAATTAACCTCATACCTTCAACACACCACTCCTGATGATCTTGGGTCCTGATTCTATCACTCTGTGTGTTTGCTATTCCTCTCAGCAGCAGACCTTCCATAAAACTGACTAGTCGCAGTGGTCGGCAAACTCATTAGTCCACAGAGCCAAATATCAACAGTACAACAATTGAAAGTACTTTTGAGAGCCAAATTTTTTAAACTTAAACTTCTTCTAACGCCACTTCTTCAAAATAGATTCACCGGGGCCGTGGTATTTTGTGGAAGAGCCACACTCAAGGGGCCAAAGAGCCGCATGTGGCTCGAGAGCCGCAGTTTACCGACCATTGGAGTAGTGTGTGGCTTCTGTGTCTTCACTCAGCCTGGCGCTGCGTTCTGGAGCAGGGTGCTAGAGGCAGCCTTCCTAGGGTGCCTGGCTCCATATTCCAGTCATTATGCTGGGGGGAACACGTCACCC